AGTAATAATATTAAAATTTATTAACAATTAATAAATTATAATTCTATTTTATAGTTTTTGTTAGACAAAGCAATCTCGCTTACGAGTAATTAAGAGTAATAAGGAAAATATCAATGCAATTGCTCATATATGTAAAAGAATCGACTGCGCATTTCTAATCTCACAATTAAATAGCATGTGCTTGGAGTAGAAAAAAAAAGTAATGTTGAATCATATCAATATTTCTCTTCAACTCAATGCTTTATCAAATATTTTCTAAATTAATACTGATAATTCATAGAAATGTCTATTCTTAAGGCCGTAGCACACACAGAAAAAGCAGTAAGACGTAATCAGTAAGCAAATCAACATGTTTGATTTGCTACTGCTTACATTATTGCCTTACGTTTTCCACTGTGATTTGCCAATTCGCTTACTACTTACGTTTTTCTGTGTGTCATAGCTCTTATTACGTTTATGATTGCACTGTGCTACTTGCTTCATATGTATCAAACTCAACCTCAATGCTGTGGCACATAAAAACGCAAGCAGTGAAATGTAAGCAATAAGCAAACATTTTAGCGTTTGCTTACATTATTGCCTTATGGTCTTTACATTTGGTTTAACTGCTTATACGTCTTACGTTCTCCAGTTTGCTGCGACTCTTATTCTTAATAATTTTTTATTCTTAACACTTTAAAACTCATAAGAATCTAGATGTTAAAAAAGCAGGCATCGATCATTTAACGTTCGAATTTTCGCCTCGCAGAGGGACATGTATCGATCATATACCGTCGAAAGACAGAAAGACATTGACGTTATCTCACTCGGCGATTCAAAGCGACGGAAGTGAGCCAGGGACAGAGGCGGAAGGAGCCGGTTTTTCGGGAACGACTGCCGCCGTAGGTGTCGAAGGGACACGAGGCTCGAACGAGCCCGCAATTAGGCGGTCCCGGGGTCGACGATGGGCGCAGCGACGGGGTCGGGCATTATGCAAAGCAGATTTTAAATTTAGATGCGACCCACTGTGGCCCATGCACACACCCGCGTCGCACTGCGCGCGCGCACACACACACACACACACACACACACACACACACACACGCACGCATTTGTGTAGCGCGCGCGAAACCCACGCGGGCCACACGTAAGAATCTGTAAGCGTGGGTCGTGTCGTGCTCGACAAATTAGCGCGTTTTAAATCCAATCCGTGCTGAAAGGGGGAGTCGTTGTGGATGGCTATGCCGAGGATGGGAACGAGAACGCGGGGGAAAGGTACTAGAAGGGTGGCTGTCGGGCTGTTTTGCATTTCTCGCGCGCGCGCCGAACATTTGAGGTGTAAAATATTAAATCCAGGCACCTCCGCCATATCGCCTACGTCCTCGGCAGGGAGGAGGATAGAGAAAGCTAGAAAGAGAGAAAAAGAGAGAGAGAGAGAGAAAGAGAAAAGGAGAGAGAGAATGGAGGAAGGGTGATAGGAGAGAGCGGAAAGGGGTTGGAAGCTGCCCCAGAAGGGGAAGGAGGATACGGCGAGGCGGCTCTGCGGCGCGCACTCAGCAAGTTTACATTTAAATGTAAAAGTGCCGAGTGCCGCTAGGCGAAAGCTGCTGTTTTGCATTCGAAAGCTCATGATTGCCTCTGAGCTTTGCTTTTGATGCCGAGGCATTTCGCGCTGTCGACGGGCGGAGAGCTGCGTCGCTAAAGTCTGGTCGACTTCGGCTTCGGTCGAGATGGAGCGCGCTACAGAAAGGCGCTCCGGCTTCGTTCCATGTCTTTTCACATACGGACGTTTTCGGCAATTCCGATTCGATTTTCTTGTAGCAAAAAGCTATAAAAAGATTTTTTTCAAAATGCGTCATTCTCGAATGATTTGAAACATCTGGAAATCTAAGATTTCGTAGAAATAACGTAGGTAAAACATAACATTATAATAAGATCACGATGACATCAGGTAGAATTTTAGCAAAAATATGTCATAATGATGTCATTCGATATAATTTTAACGATGATTTTGGGATGAATTTTTGACACATTAATTTTTAAATGGGTTTGACTGATAAATTATATAAAATAATTATAAAAAAAATAATATAAAAGTTATTATTAGTTAAAAGTTTATTATTAACAAAATCATCGTCAAATGTGTATTAAATGACATCGTTATAATTTTTCTTAAAATGACTTATGAATGATTATATCTATCTTATTATTATTTCAATAGATTTTGAGCAGAATTAGATATATTCAAACTATATGTGTTATGATTTGCGAGGGTGTTATATTGCGTGTGTCAGTAATATTATTGCATTTTTCACCGATATTACATTTTCTGCAGAGAGAATGCCGTCCTTCGTGTGAGCACATGTATTCACGCATGTATTCACACTGGCAAAGACGAGTTTGTGCGCGCGGGAGTGTATCCACACGTTTGTTCGTTTGATTTCCGGGATCTAATCAATTCTCGGAAGGCGAAACGACAGACGAGCGGGTTAGAAGCAAGCGAGGCGAGCGAGCTGACCGTTATTTCTCTAATATGTATGTTTCTTATGAGCGCCGGTAAAAGGGCTCCGTGCAATTTCCTATGATAGATCGAGTTCCGCGGACAAGTTCCATTACGGCCGGCTCTGAATTATTGAGCTGGCAATTCCCTGGCGACACGCGGTACGCCCTGCATCAAAGTGTCAACGGGCTCATTAAGCCTCCAAATCAGGTGAACTAACGCGGTAACCGTTCGACCGTTTCGTTCGTTCGGGTTCACCGATAAACACCCTAGTGGTTTAATTTAAATTTGTTCACGCCATTATATGTATAGTAGGGATCTCGACACTTTTTAGTACAATGACTGGTCAAGCTTCGATTCCAGATTCCCCTTTGATTCGAAATAAAAGAAACATATATGTGAATAATCAAACATTATGAACACGTATCTATTTATAGTCTCACTGAAACCACAGGATGTTACTTTCACAATGTTTGATTATTCATTTTATACATGCTTTTTTTATATCGACAAAAAGAAGTTCTGGATTTGAATATATTATATTTTATATTTATATATATTATATTTAATATAATAAAAGATTTTTATTTCATTCTTTTATATATATAGTATAAAACGATATTATATATTTACTACTTAAAATATTATTTTTATCTTTATAATATAAATACGTTTTAGTGGATGAAAATACAGAATTACAAAAATAGATGAGCGTTAAAATATTTCTCTTTTTGCATCAAGAATCTTTTATCCTTTACCTTTTAGGCCTGAGTTCACATTTTATTTTTATCGATAAATACGCACATTTATCATAATAAAAGTAAGATGTGTGTATGGACCTTTTGAGTAAAAATTATAAGAGTTATTGCCAGTTACAAAGTTGCATGATTCATCTAAAATATGACGCACCAGTTTTCGCAAGTGACAAGCGTTTCGTATTGCCCGATGACGTTATGAAATATCAAGTATGTTTTATCGTCGCGATCGAGGATCTCGGAATATGCGAAACGATACACCACAGGGGATGAAGTGTAATGTTACTTTCGTCGCGGTTTTATTTCATTTTTTTTTCTCCTTCGTCCCTTGCGGTCGGAAAGAAGCGCACATTTGCATTTCTCTCTTGGCGGATCGAAAGGCGGAAGATGGCCGATACAGATTACGACTATCTGTAATCCCTTGAAATAGGACCTGTTACTGTAAACTGCCGCTTGTATGTATCTGCGATCGCTAGAAGGGCCGAACTGACGCGATCGCTATCTGAAGTCGCCCTTCTGGTCCATATGCTGGGCTAATAAGAGCCCTAATAACGGGTACCCCACCCCTTCGGTATGTGGGGACTGTCACTAAATATTTTTCTTCCTCAACGGTTGCTCTGGGAATTCGCCCGTGATGCCGTGACGCATATGTCCTCGACTGACGGCTTATTTCGACAAAGATCGATTTTTGTGTTCTCTCGATACTTGATAAAAAAAGGTTTCAAATTAGATTCTGTTTAATCACTTCATCGAAAGGTGTGTTGAAATCAGATATATTTTTGGATGTGCAAAGATAACTGTTATCGTGTTATATTAAATTTGCATACTAATATATTTTAATTTAGATTATATTGGTATATAATTTTAATATTTACTTCTTTCAACTAAAAATGTTTTCTAAAACATAAACTGTGAAGATTAAGAAAAATTGTTTTGTATGTTCCTCAGACAACGCGCGATGAATAAAAATGTCTTTACATCGGTTTTATCAGCTAAAACGCGATCAAAGCTTTACATAGAGATAGCCTCCTATATTTAAGGCTGAATA